TCTGTTATTGCGCAACTCTTGCTTCATAATGGGATTTTCCTAAACTATTTCTGTTCTTATGTAACTCATGCGCAACTCTTGCATAACTGTTGTTCAACTTGTGTACTATATATAGCCGTTCACTTTCTTAAATAAAGATGAGAAGTGAGTGAGTAGAACCTCACAAACTGTACATTGTTTATTCTCGAATGAAAATTCTTTTAGCGTGCTAATGATGCTGATTAGTTTATCTCATATTCAGTGTATAATTACCGTTATTATTGTTATCTACATGTGTATTGAATCATGTTTAATAGCAATACACTTGTACGAGTCAGAAGTTGGCAACAATTTACAGTTCTACGATTGTATACATTATTTAAATGAAGAACAGAGTATGCAGTTTAGTTCGGAAAAGAGAGAAATGAAAATGAGGACAGGAGCTGAAACAGGAACTGCGGTTAATTTTAACAATTTAAGACCCCCTGTAACAACTCATCGCCATTACATTATTCTCCATGCTTGATCTTACCGCAGTTTCTAGAAATTCTTAAAACTTCGAAGTTTCGCGGGTTTTAGTAAGAGAGATAATAGAAGAAAGAAATCATTTATTATTTATTAATTTAATACAAGTCGTTTCCGGGGAACAAAATATAAATTTAAATTTTATAATTTTATATTTTTTATTCAAAATATAAATTTTATAATTTATATTTAATATTTTCATAATTTAGTATTTTAGTTTGCAATACTTATTTTCGTTTCTCTTTCTGTACATCAGCACCACGATTTCCACCACATCTTCTCGGAACAACAAAGAAGAATATTAGTTATTTTACTCATCAATTAATTGAACATTGTACAAACAATACATTTTTTGTTTTTTGTACAAAAAAAAAGTTTATCATTCAACTAATAATAATTGTTGCTGCTGGTAGAATAGAATTGGGTGTTGTTTTGTGAAGGTGTTAGTAGGGCCTAATTAGCACCACAAATTGAAGGTTCTACCCAGATTCTGGTATAACATTAATCTGTACAACCAGAACCACCAGCAACATCGTCCATATTATTAGTCGACACCACCATCAGTTTATCTACTTGTTACATCACGCCCTCTCAATTTTTATTAGTGATTTGGTAATATCCTACTGAATACGTTTTTATTATTCTGGTGAGATTTTTCCAAGCTGTTAAGGAGGCTTTGATGTGGTAAGAAACCTTTAGACGACATTTCGCTTTCTGAATTTGAGATGTCGCAAGATATTCCGATAGATAAAGATAAGAAGGTAGCAGCAGCTCCGCATTTGAGCAGTTACACCGATAGGGATGCTTCATCTTTAGAACAAGAACCATCGAAGTTTTTTGTAAAAGCAAAATCTAAAACTTCTGTAACTCCATCAGTGGTCTCCGTTTTGTCTCGCGGTAGAGCTGTCAGATCTAATACATCGCGTGCTACATCTGATCTTTCTGTCGCTAGTGGTGGCGTTTATGTCAACGCATTGCTGCTCGAAACTATGAAAATGCAGAATATGCATATACTGGAATCTATGAAAATACAGAAAGAACAGGCAACCAAAGCCCGGTTATTCAAAAAACATTGGAGGACACTATATTTTGAAATGGATAGTAATATAATATGATCTTTTTTTCAGCTCAATGATAAAAACGTCTCCACAGACAAGACTCGATCGTATTTATCACAAATAAAAAATCACACAAATTACAAAAATACAAGAATACAGGAAAATCACACCAACTTTCGAGAATTGCCGAAAATCCAACAAAATTTCGACAGTAATTTTCAATTGCACTTGAAGTAAAATTTTCTAATAGCATACACCGGGCATAATAATAAAATAATACACTGTGTTTTTATAATCTATAATCCTTTATTTATCCTTTATTTACTACTTCTTTTACTATTTTTGGTGCTTAAGGGTGTTGAAATGTGCTGTTTACTTTGGCTTAGTTATTTTTCAGAGTGCTCAGAAGTATTTCTATGCAAAAAATGGTTAAAATTTATGATTAGAATTCATGGGAGAGAAATTAAATTTTTTCTACATGTAGACCTCCTGACATTCCCTATGAGATAGTTTTAGCTCTGAGTATCTACCTTTAAAAAAAATCTTGATTGAATATTGAACGTTCTCATTACTTTTTAAGAACTTTGAAAAAAATAAAGTGTATCTATAAAAGGATTGGTTCCTATATAGCGCACTTTGTTTCGGGAGCGGTTTTAAAGTACTGTACCTAGGGACGCTTTGAAGAAGTGAATTCTGTTGTAATACTTTTAAAAGTGTTCTTCTGCAAAGTACTTTTAAAAGTATGTCATAGAAAAACCATGAAAAACCGTAGACAGGACCGTATACGGTTACTCGTCCGTCCATTAGTCATTTGTTTAAAGTTAAGTGATTCACAAAAATCAAAAAGCGGTTTTCCTGCTACTGTTGTATTATGAATATTGCACCATTCCTCGTAATGAATATTGAAGTCACCAATCAGGAGAAGTCCATCGTAGTTATTTGACTGTAAGACGTCATAAATACTTCTACATTAAAAAAAGATTATCTCAAAGTTTTTGTCCTCTAGTGATGGAATACGTCGTACAGACAAATGATCATGATGATAAAGGAAGCATTCTCCGCTCTCTATCTCTGTCTAGTCTCTCTAACTTACATCCATTCATGCGAATATCATCGTCTGGTATGGAGTCACCAAGCCAAGTCTCTGCGACAGCAATGAATGAAGATTGAGCTTAAGAAGCGATCGCTGAAAGAAGATCGAACTTCGTCACTTGACTTTTATGATCTATATAGGCTTTAGCAGTTATACTCCGTATATTACTAGTAAGCACCTCCATCGAGGAAGGTACACAATACGTAGTTTTAGGAGTTTTAACCACGATTGTTAAGGTTCTGACTGGCACACGCCACGGAATGAGTTATTTCACACTTTGATTAATAAATATTTTTGATGAAACTTTCAGATTATACGTATTTTGATCCCTGAATAGAATGACCGACTCAGTTCTTTGAAAATCGGCCTATGTTAGCAAACGCTTTCTGTAAAATCCGACGCTCTAGAGATATAAGCTCACAATTTGTCAGAAATAATTTTAAGCACGCCAGTTGATAGAGCATATATGATCGATATTGCAATATTTTTTATAAGTTAAGTTATGATATTTAGCTGGAAAGCAGAGAAAATCGCATTTTGGTTCCTGAGTCAAAACGATACGGTTCCCGAGTATCCTCTCTAAGCCTATAGTGTTGAAATATTTTTGTGGTACTTAAGTAATACCTCCCCTTAGCACAAGAGAGCATCAACGATGCTCCTAGGGTGCGGGATACCGCAGTTTCCCTGGCTGGTGCATCGATGTTACACCTTATATTTTTGTTATTTTAGAAAAACGAACATTTTATATAAAAAATAAAAATGACACATGTGATGTATTGCAAAACAAAAAAATTACAACAAATAGAAAAAAATAGTATAAATAATTCTGTACTGCAGAAACATGTTTTTATTGAGACGCAACTAATCGTCACTAATTAACTAACTTGATTTCATAAGATGCCAGATGAATAATTTCAGCTTCACATCCGACCCCAACGTAAAAACACACGGTGCGAGAGAAATTGTTATCGATTGCAACCTACTTTTAAAATATCTGGATTTTCAAAAATCACTTTCAACAACAAGTATGGTGGCGTTTTCATATGTTCAACGAGATTAGCAGTACCATCGCTATAGAAAAGCATTCTAATAGATCACAAACTAACGAACACAAATGTTGAAAAATACGTTCTGTGTCCGAAATGGGTGAAACTCCAGCTCGCGAAAGATCAGCATTAAGCGAGATCAGCGCAACATTTGTGTTCGTCAGTTGCTGCTCTATGCGAATGCTTTCTCTATAGCGATGGTACAACTGACCTCATTAAACATACGAAAGTGCCACCACCCTGGAACTGCTGTTTCCTAATCAGAACAACGTTTGTTCGAAGCTTAGCCATGATATTCATAATCAGCATCTAGTCAGTTACAACTATTCCAATGTTCTGCAAAAATCTGAGAAAAACATATTTTCCAAATACCAGGTGGAACACAGGTTATACAAAAAGGTTGCTGTATCACTTTGGCGAAATTAAGTTGTGAAACATGTTTCAAATATCACGCTGACATAGAGATGATAGAGTGCAGTGTTTAGAAACCGCTTTACGCTACTTGTAAAGTTTTCTAATTCAGCCGAAATCGAACATATTGAGTTCTGCTTCCATTTATTTGTTGTTGTTGCTCAGTATCCCATCTTCGTGCAGAATGTCCAATAATAGCCACGTTGTTTAGTTTTCTGCCGTAGATGCATTGGAATAGCTTTAAACTGTCGCCTAATAACATGTACGTTTTCCATCTAAAAGATAGAATGAAAAAAGACATAATAAAATACAAAACAACAATAAAGACAAAAGCGTTAGCTTGTTGTTCATAGCTTTTAAATTCCGGGTATCTCAAAGTAAATTAAAGCTTAATTTAAAAGGAGGAAAACAATTGAGATTATTAGTTGCACACAAGAATAAATGAGTAGATTGCATTATGTAAGGAATGATTGTGTTCGATATTTCGTGAATATTTATCTTTACCTATCAGTCAGAAAAACAAGACCTTCTATAAGTTGGAAACTGTTTGCTGAAAGTAACAATTTTGTTTATTATTTTCGTTATTGCTTTTATCTGACATAGCAAGACGTAATATAGTGTTTTAGAAAGGAAAAAACTTATCTAGGTAGAAGGAAGAAACAAATCATAGAAGAGGTTTATCCAAAATTGAAAATAAACTGGTCTACAAAAATTGCCAAACGTTCGTCAAATTATTCAGCTCAAAACATAAAGGATGTGACATACGACAATACAGATAGCATATAAGCAACTTAATACTTATTTATCTTTTCTAATTCACTGAAACAACGAGCACCAGCTACAACCATCACAAAAACAGAAGAAAAAACAACAACAAAAGAAACAGCTTCAATTTTCTGTTGGATTTTGTTTATGCAGAGGAGCAACTGGTACTAGGTGTTCGATAAATCGAACGCTTGATGGCGGTCGTGGTAACGTTGAAGCACCTTGAGCTTTTTGTGAATGATCAGCTAATGTGCGATAATATTGTTGATAAGATGTGCCACCTAATATGTACGCGACATACAGACTCCAGCCACTCGAAGCACTTATACCTTCAAATATTCTTCTTTTTAAACGATTTTTCAAATCGTTTGTCATCAGTCTGCTCTCATTAGCTGGTATGAGGATTACTTGTTGTTGTTGTTGCTCAGCATTCCATCCGTGTGCAAAATATCAGTAATAGCCACGTTTTTATTTTACTGTCGTAGATGCTTGGAAATAGCTCTAAACTGTCGCCTAATAACATGTACGTTTTCAATCTAAAAGAAGAACAACGGCCGCCGATTCATCATCATCATCATCCACTGCAACAAGAACCATTTGGCGTACTTCAGACGGTATTTCCACGCAGCTACAAACAAATTTACAACTACTTTTTTGCACTAAAATTTGACTCTGCTGGTTTTGCAGCCTGTATGCAGTCACGTGGGATTCCACAAATTCTGCAAAAACTGAACCTCACAGTGCTATTCGCTCAAAAAATGCGTCTATAAAACTTGATCTGCAAAATCGGTAAACTGAACAGATTATTTCCAAAAGAGCCTGGATTTGTTGCCTGATAGATCTCGGAAATCTGAATATACGATGTAAATTTAAAGGGTAGAACTATAAAAATACTCATCTGAGAAATTTATCTGAATAAGTTATCACTTAATTGTTGTAACTATTGTACAATGATCAAGAAGTAAGACAATATCTACTACACAATATCTACTAGCTCTGCTATCGGAGAGGTGATTACGCTACCGTTTTTAGGAAACTTCAAAATGTTATACCTTTCTGAGGAAAACGCGTGGCGAGTTACCCAAGCTCTCATTAAAGAGAAGATTCGAAGTTCTTCAAAACTGGATTCAACCAAACTCCTTAAAAGTTTTCGTTCAAACTATTTATCAAGATAATTGGAAGGTGCTCTTTCGAAAAAAATCCAGTTGAGGCATCTCTTTTTTCTTCGCTGTACTCTCCGAACGAAAACTTTTCAGAAGTTTGTTTGAATCCAATTTTGAAGAACTTCGAATCTTCTTTTTAATGAGAGATTGTGCAGCTATTCACGGCTTTTCCTCAAAAAGTTATATCGTTTTGAAACTCCCTAAAAGCGATAACTCAATCACCTTTCCGGTAGCAGAGTTACGCGGAATGGTCATATAGCCACAATACCCCTTGGATAACGATCTTTCAAGTGGCGTAAGTTCTTTATATCTGTTTACAAACACCTGTCTTCAATGTTCGTCTAATACGGATGTCGATCTTCACAAAAGTCTCTGTAACGACTAAGTCACAGTGGGCATTCAGGTGGAAATTTAGAAAAAAAACAGTGATCTTGCTTTTTCGTAATTTAAATAGTGTTTCATATACTTCGAGTGACGGCCGATTTAATGGCGAAAGAATTTTTATTCTACGACTTTTCCTTCTATAAAAGATTTGCAATGCAAAAACACCATGTAAATGCGGTATTTTTCCGGAAAATTTCGATTTTTGTTGAAGTATAGTAAATTAGAATAAAAGCGAGATCATATTCGGAAAGAACACAGTCAGGCGAATACGAAATAGAAAAGAATTTTATTTTTCGAGTGAAACTTAAGAGCTTTGGAATGGATTCTTTCGAAAACGGTCTAAGCTGTAAAGGCCCTCTCCGGTATTTTGAGAACACCTAGCTTAGCGCAGGTCTGAACTAACATATTTTTATACCAAAATGTTCCTCGCGAGGTCGTGCATCTATGGTGAATGCGCAAAAGTGCGCATCTTTTCCTGGGCTGAGATATTGGTTTTCCAAAATCCCTCGGTTTTTGAGGTAAACTGACCTTTTCGTACTCAAAAAACATTTTTTCCTACATGATATATATATATATTCGGAATCACCGTGAAAAACTGCAAGGATGGTATATAATTCATCTGAATTCGGTCCTTCCGTTCTGAATTCTATAAATTTCTTAGATTTGAGATTCACACGAAGAACCTTCCGCTGAAAATTCAAAATTCAAGAGAGAAACCGTGGAAGGTCTGAAAAAACTACTTTTGTAGGTTATCGATGATGCTCTATCCAATGGAATGATTTTTCAGTTTAGAAACATTTTTCAAAGAGTTTTCCACAAATCCGGTCTCTGGAAAACCCATTGGAAAACTGTTCCATTGGAAAGAAAATCGTCGAAAACGTACACGACGCTTCCTTCATTTTTATTAATCTGAAATGTTTTTTTAAACAATGTATATCCCCGTTTTGTTGATACATTTCCTTAACCAAAAAGCGTGAAGAGTCATGATATCTACCATTCTGTCAGGCGCGCTTTTTTTGCGCATGGCAACGGGACAACCGAGAGTTCTGGGCTTGTTTTTGTTCAAAAGATATAGAGACGAGTAAGAGCTACCAAACGAGTATAGTTAAATCTTGGATATGAATGGAATTCTCTTTAGTGGATATAAGTAAAATCGCCCGTTGTACAAGAGAACTAGATTCAAAGCGAACCTCTTGGATACGAGAACAATGAATGGAACACAAATTGATTTGGGTTTTATAATCAGTAACGTAAACAAACAATTTATTTTCGTTGAAAAAGCGATCAGAGATTAATCCAAGTTGAATCTACGTAGAAGTTTCTGCAGAAATTTTTAATATTAAAATATGAATAAACTGCTCAGCACATGATCTAAAGAATTGAATGGCGATTGTTTTGGTACAGAAATTAATTCAAAAGGATCTAGAGAAGAATATATGACAAGCACATATTTCTTTTTGTAAATATCATAGTGTTTTGTTTCCACACAAAAGTTTCAAATTTCTTTTTAATTTCTATTGTGAAAAAGACTTTTTTTCTGTTTGGAAATATTATCAAGTTTAATATTATTAATCAGGAAGCCTATCCACACATCAGTTTTTGCTATTTTGTAGAGAGAGTCAACTGACAGATTCTCATACATGATTAGTTTTATGACGTAAAAAGACGTTTGTATACCACGTTCTTCTATGCATTACTTATTTGATCTAAAAACTTATTCGCTAATGATGTGCTGAATGCTGTTTTTCATTGCAAATGTAATGAAACAGGCTTAGGACAGTTTAATGACATTCAGTTGTTTGTAATTCATTTGAAAAAGGTGATTAAAGTAGAATTTTCTGTTTTTGTAAGGGAAGAGTATTAATACTCAGTTCTTACCATATGTTTTCGTTCACTTGGGAACCCAATGTGCTAGAGACGTCCGGTTTCACCATTCGACAGTCAATATACTTTATGGATCGGTCTTTCTCGTAGTCTGGTAATATTAAAAATACATGGTTCGTGGACGATCATCGTAGCAATGTTCATTTTAATGTGGAAAGTAAAATAACTTCGGCTGATGATTTTTTTAAAAATACGGATCTTGAGCTGTTACTGCGTTTTATAGCCACATTGTTTTTAGTTACAATCGCTTGAAACTGTCCGGAAAAGCTTATTACATCCTTCTGCAGCTAATTCACCATTAAAGACTAGAATTCATAACCAAAGTTATTTTAATCTCCGCATTAAAATAAACATTGCCATGATAATCAGGAGCACCGATTATCGATGAACCATGTATTTTTTGTGTTATCAGACCACGAGAAAAGCCAATCTTGGTGGCGTCAGCAGTATCGTTATTTTGCCCGAATGATGGACTGTGGAGCCCTAGCTTAGATCCCATTTTGTAAAACCTACTTTAGGCTATCTAAAAAAACTAATATATTCCTGTGTTCATTTTCTGAGATACGAATTGGTTTTCCGAAGATCCGCTGGAAAACCGTTTTTTTAAAAATTTTCTGAAAAAGGCTTTCGGACAGATGACATAAAGCCTTGGCTATCGACTGGCGAAAACCGCACATCTGTCGCACATTGTGTTTTTAAGCTATTCAAAAAATAGTGAGGGATATTATATTTTGAATACGATATTAGTTCTGTATGTGCACAGATCTACTTTCTTTCTGCAAATTTCAAGCAGTTATAAGCAGACATGTACGCCCATAAAAAATTTTCGGCGGCGGCGAATGAAACCTTTACCATAGGCGACGGCGCGAGACTATGAAAGTTTCCTCCGCCTTCGGCGGCGCCGTGTGAAAATTGTGTATCGGTGGCGAATCTCATAATTTAAGTAAAGCAAGGTTCTCTTTCATTTCTGGTACGTTCTTCGCGCCCCAACTGTATCTGTACGTTGCCGTATAAGTTACGAAAAGATAGAAACGCGCTGCACGCTAGATGCCTAAGGTAAGAGCGTACTAACAAAAATTTTCTCCGCCCTCGGCGGCGACAAAAGTTTAACGGCATGCCGGCCGAAGTCAAAACAGTTTTTCTCCGCTGTCAGCAGCGGCGAATCGGCGCACATCTTTGGTTATCAGAGATGCAGGTTACACTTTTACACACTGGAAGTTTCAAGCATTAGTAGTAGATAATCGTCCTCCATCTGCTATGGCTTTTAGAGAGAGGGCACCGATAATTCTTTATATAATTTGAAGACAAAAGCGGGACAAAAACCTAACACCTATGTAACAAGTGCACTGTAAAACCATAAATCAATTATAATTAGTCAAGAAATTGAGAGAGTTGAGTAAATAATTTCGTCATCAACAGAGAGTAGATCTTCAAACGAAGGTTTTTATCCATTTTCATCCAGTGTTCATCAGACGAAAATAGAGCAAATGAAAATGAGTATTTAACTCCATGATGACTACAGGATTAAAAAAAACGGTAAATTAGTTTTAACATCTTGTACTTCTTACATTCTAGATTAAACAAACATGTCACTAGCGACAGTCACATTATTCATTCAACAACTAAATATCTATGGTGGCATTATTTTATATATTATGGGCATTATTGGTAACATTCTCAACTTTATCATATTTTCTCAATCAACATTACGGAAAAATTCCATTTCAGTTTATATGCGTGTGGCAGCAATATTCAGTTTGCTGACACTTCAAATACTTATAACACGTATATTAGCCACCGGTTTTCAGCTTGATTATGCCTTAAAATCACGTGGTTGGTGTAAAATACGTGCATATTTTGTAATTACATTTGCTTTAATTACATTAACAATTGAAGCATTCTCAACTGTTGATAGATATTTTTCATCGTGCAGACAAGCAAAATATAGAAAATTTAGTTCAATGTATACTTCAAAATGTATTATTCTCTGTTGTATTCCCATATGTCTGCTAATGAATGTACCAACACTTATATTTTATGATATTTATTCAATTGCCGATACTCAACTTGTGTGTTTATCTGTTAGTATAAACTATAATAATTATGTTTCCTATGTTTATTCACCGGTATTCATTGGTGTATTACCATTTTTGTTAATGGTTCTATTTGGTATTCTAACGTATGGAAATATTAAACGGATTGGACGTCGACAAGTCGTCCCTAGTACTATTACTAACACTATGACAGGTGGTGCTTCTGTTCAATCAATTTCATCACGACGAGCAGATGTTCAATTAACATCAATGATTTTAATGAATCTTATTGTCGTTCTTATCTCGGTATTTCCTTACTCAGCGTACAATATTTATTCGGCTATAACATTAAATTTTACAAAAGATCCAAATCAACGAATTATTGAAGGTTTGGTTGCACAGACAGTATTATTGCTATGGTATGTAAATTACAGTTCATGCTTTTATGTCTTCATTATTACATCAAAATCTTTTCGAAAACATTCTATAAATTTGATTACAAGTCGACAAACACAAAAACGGACTGAAAGTTACACACAAGCACGACGAACGCTAGCAGCAAAAAATTAAAGCTGCACTTGTACTTTTTTTCTAATTTGATGTAGTAATTCGTATCGATGTTGTGAACCCCTACGTGTACAAAAGAATCATTACTATACCACCTCCCTTAAATATAAGACCATTTCCTATTAGATGACTACTGCTGACGATTTTTCCGTGATACTCTCTCCACGATTTTTGGTCGAAAGTCGACTTGAGTTGCTTGTCATAATAGAAGACCATGCCTAGTAAACGTTCTGTAACATAGTGTGCATCCAAACGGATATTTGGCTAAAAATCGAAGGTGCGCTTTTTTTACATCTGAATAGTGCTTCGAATAGATCGAAGGCTGCTCTGTTTAATGACATAAAATTTTTTGATACTAATGTTTCTAATCGTTGGAAAATACTAATGAGTGAACATCACCAACTGCCCTCTCTCTTTTTTGATGAAAACCATATGGATGTAGGCTGTCGACGGGTGTTGATTCCGAATCTGATCATGGAGGTGGCTGTTAGGCCCTCAGAGACACGGTTTTCCAGAAAAACATTTTCCTGTAACGAAAATCTTTATTTACTAAAAAAGATTTTTGATCTATTCAGATTATAGGGCATATCGAGTTGTCCATAAAACATTCATTTTGTTTCGTTATAAACCTATTACAGTACGTTACATAGCCGTTAGGGGTTTGACTTTTGTGGAAAGTCAAAAATGAAACGTCAGTTGTTTGGAGACGGATGACGCCCGAAACAATAACTACCGGCAATACAGTTATGATATCAATAGTACATTTCCTCACTTATTTGCATGAACTAAATCTTTCTTTTTTGAAGATTGTCGACTAATACGGTAATCGTAATATTTCATTGTGTTGATTCATCGCCAGCGCAAGTCTTTCCAATCGATAGCTTGACACGCTTTCGTTGAATTGACATTGTCATATTATCTACTCTCGGCAATGTCGCAATTGCTATACAATTGCTTTATCAGGAGTTCACATAATGTAACGCTATTTGAGTCAAATATATATACTCGCCTTCAATATCTTTCCTAGTTTCAGGCAAACAGCAGGATATCAAAGAATCATTATGGCATATTAAACAAAATTCACGATATTATCTAATACTGCACATATCCTTGTGTAGTGATTTTCTAATATTCAAGGTTGTTTTCGACTGTCAGAGAAATTAAATTTATAATTTTGGATTTCTAAAATCGATTCTGTGCCCAAAACCTAAAACGTTTTATCATCTGTTTAAACAGCATCACACAACTACAAATAAGAATAGCAGATCAAACGGATGGATATTTATCATTTTCTTTGATTAATTCTTTTGATTTTAATTGTAATTTATAAGTATCATAATACTGGTACATAAACCCCTTAAATGGCAGCAGGACCTATGAAATAAACAATTATTTTTCTGTGTACCTTATTTTCTCTATCAATGATCTTTAAAGTACAAGTATAGATTACAGCTACTTTTCACAAGTACTAGTATGTGTATTTATACTCATATGCGTGTACTTGTTCATATACATAAAACAGATTTTAGAGATGACATCATTTAGGATTAGGTGATTATTAGATGAACTCATGTTTATGTGTTTATCTTTATCTTTTTGTCAGCCTCATTGTGTATTCACTACATTGATTGTGGAACCAAATAATTTAATTCTTTTCCCGATAGACAAATTGAACCATGATCTTGATGATCATGATTCTGATCATCATGATGATTATAATCAGTAGATAAATGAACTGAAAGACAATAGAAAACTTTCTGTATTTCATTCTTTGGTCATATGTGTGTGACATACCTGGACTTATTACATTTTTAACAGCATTAGTGAGCGTGGATAATGCACTGGAAGACGATGTTTCTTTAATTGGATTATCGGTATCAGTCTTTGATTCATCTGGGAGAAAAAACGAAGAAGCGGATACTGAATTTGACAATGAATTGTTAACTGTTGTGGCAAAGGTATTTTCATTAGTTTTCAAAATATTATTCGGTATATCTAATGGATTTGTATTACTATTCAAATTATGTACATAATCAGCAAATGGCGACCGCGTCATAGACGTAGTTTTACCAATAGCTGGTGTTAAAGTCGATAGTGTTGGACCTAAAACAGTGAATATAGTTCAATAATATATAACCCTCTAAAAACTATCAAAACACTCTGACCATCATCTTCTTCCGACAATTGACAATCCTTTGCTTGATGAATTCTAGAAAAAAGAGAAAAACATACTCTAAACGAAGCAAAAAAAACAGCGAGTATATGCAACCTGTAAAAATCAAATTTTCCTGGTTCACATGGTGAATATGGTATATTAAGACCGTCTTCAGATGTTTGATAGCCATTCATATTAAATGTCTGTGATATCTGAAGCTTTTCTTCAGACATTATGTATGAAAAAAAACATAAAATAATAAACTATAATATATGAGTGTTTGAATATATGCAAATTTGTCTAAAAGAAGTCAAACTAAAGAAGGGAGAAAGAAAAGTACAGTAACACTATTTTATATGTAAATTTCTAATGTTCTACACGTCACTTTATTTAAAATTCCGATGGCGTTTGTTAAAACAGCTGTTTTCACCCATCAATCTCAAAATAAACGCATAAAAATGACGGGGGCGATTATCTGATGAGATCGGTTCATGGCTGAGTTTCATCGACTAATCAAAGGCTAGATGTAGAATGCTGAGGGGAATATTTCTAGGTACTTACTAGACCTTAGAACCACTCTCAGAAAAAGCTGGACAAATCAAATTTGGTTAAGTTTCCATCTGATATATATTATAAATTGTAGTTTTGGATCTTTCTCTAGCAGTTTCACAATTCCCTACGACTATTATATATCATTCGAAAGCTCTTTTTCTTTGCTATAATTCTGTATATCACATATACGGAAATAGTCGTTCTGAGGCCAAGTATATTTAGAAATACTTCTTACTATAGAAGATGGTCGCCTACGTGCAAAAAGTCTCAGATATTCTATGTCAATATTCGACTACTACAATAAATATACCATTCGATAGAAAACTTGTCGAGTTACAATTGGATATATATAATATACGGAAAAAAATGTTGTAAGGCACTTTGATATTAGAAACGTTTCTGTAAATCCAGAATTCTGCTCATAATTCTCAATTTTCTCCATAAGAACTCAACTTGTATGCAATAAAGATACCATATTCGAGAAATGTTGACATAGAATATCTGCGACTTTTTGCACCTAGGCGACCATCTTCTTTCTCGGGCACGTTGGCAGAACTTTTTGATAAATTCTGTTTTAAGCTTATGGTTTACCGGTAATTTCGCAGTTCGACAGAAACACTTTTCGACAGCATGTTTCGCCACTGTCGAATCAAAAACATAGTCGACCAATGTGTATTTCAATTCTATCCGACTACTTTAGTTTTTGTCTAATTTTCACGTTGAAAAATTACCGAGATTTTCACCAAAAATAAAAATCGAGTTAAAATGTCGAAATACACATTGGTCGACTTTGTTTTTGATCCTGATTTCGAATATGATATTTTTATTGCATAAAAGTTGAGTTCTTATGGAGAAAATTGAGAATTACGAGCAGAATTCTGGATTTACAGAAACGTTTCTAATATCAAAGTGCCTTACAACACTTTTTTCTTTATATTTTATATATCTAATTGTAACTCGACAAATTTTCTATCGAATGGTATATTTATTGTAGTAGTCGAATATTGACATAGAATATCTGAGACTTTTTGCACGTAGGCGACCATCTTTTATAGTAAGAAGTATTTCTAAACATACTTGGCCTCAGAACGACTATTTCCGTATATGTGATACATTGTTATACCAGCTGATTGAAAGAACGTTCGATATTGAACTGGTAATACTGTAAATCAGTTGAAAAGTCACGATGCAAATCTAAAATAGTAATCATATTTGATGATAAATCAATATGAGAATTAAATTTATAAAGAAGAAAAATTTATAACACTGGAAATTGAAACTAAGAAAGTATTTGTGAGATATTTACACGTGTTAATCAAAAATATGTTACCGAATCCGATTCTTTTTTTTTCTCTTCTGGCTGTATTTTTATTGATGTTTCTTGTTTAGAGCAAATAAATCGTTCGTCCTTGTATGTCACGTCACTATTACGATGAAAAAAAATGTTTTTTCAATCATTCTGTGAAGTATTTTTCTTCTTTTCTCGGTAGACACACCTTAAACTTTTGTATAGTGAAAAGCGCAAAAATAAGATTACATACAATGTAAGCCAACAAAGTGTACTGTGCTGTAGTACAGAAAAGCATGCACATGTTCTATTACCCGATATCGAATTTTGTAATTAAACAGATCGAAGTCAAAATTTTACTTTCTACTACCCAACAAAAAACTGCTCGACGGAGAAAATCTAGCTGTAAATACTCCACAACCGGGCAGTTATTCACTTGATGGATCCAGCGAAATGTATCGTTTACTTAGTCACGTGTCTCCAATATAGTAGTGAACCGAGCGTAAAGTTATCATAATCGAATAGAAGCTGCAGGTTGACATCGAAGTCAACCGCTCATTTAACCGACCGTTCTTATCTTGACGAGTCAAAATGTCTTGACAAGAAGACTAATGTTTGGTTGATATGAGCTGGACGAATAATAGTCAATGAATCAACATCTAAAATCGATTGTAATCTTGCCTATTAAAATCAACCTTGTTTGATTTGTGGCTTAAAATTGCCGC